TCACCAAATCTACACTGTTCTCTCACTAACACCTTTATTTTGGTTTCATCACTAAAAATTTTTAGCTGGCACCTTCTCCCACTGCACTTTTCATCCTGATCATTTTCCCTTTTGTACATGTTGTAAATAAATTCATTTAGATTAGGAAAGCCATCACAGCGGCCAAGAGGCAGTACAGAGAGAAGCTGAATGGCTTCTATTCTACTGCTGACTCCGGATGGATGTGGCAAGGCCTGCAGCACATCACAGACTACAGGACCAGCTCCACAGACAGCCTGCCGGATGACCTCAACACCTTCTACACCCACTTTGAGACCTCCAACCACAAATCAAATCAAATTTATTTATATAGCACTTTAAAAACAACATCCAGCTGAGCAAAGTACTTTACATGGCAGAATAAAATCACAATAAATGACTAAAATAGAGTAAATATGATCAGTGCTAATAAAAATAAAACAGCACAATAACACAGACACACAGTTAACATACGTTAAATAAATAAAAATTACAGGGACAGTACAGCACAGGGAGGAGGCACACACACACCGAGACCACCCAACCCCCCACCTACCCCCCATTAACTGTCTCAGCAGCCAAGAGGCAGCACAGAGAGAAGCTGAATGGCTTCTATTCTACTGCTGACGCTGGGCAAATGTGGCAAGGTCTGCAGCACATCACAGACTACAGGACCACCACCAGCATCAACAGCCTGCCAGATGACCTCAACACCTTCTACACCTGCTTTGAGACCTCCAGCCACAGCACAGAGAGGAGGCACGCACAGTCCTGAGGAAGATCAACTCCCACAAAGCAGCAGGCCTGGACAACATCTCTAGGAGGGCTCTCAGGGCATGTGCCAGCAAGCTGGCTGATGTTCTCACCACCATCTTCAACCTCTCCCTCAGCTAGAGCATCATTCCCACCTGCTTTAAGACCACAACCATCGTCCCCCTTCCCAAGAAGAACCTGGTCACCTGCCTGAACAACTACAGGCCAGTGGCACTTACCCCAATCATTATGAAGTGTTTTGAGAGAGTGGTGCTGGCCCACATCCAGAGCAGTATACCGGACCCCCTGCAGTATGCCTACCGGCCCAACAGGGCCACCTCAGATGCCATCGCAGCTGCCCTCCACTATTCCCTTTCTCACCTGGAAAATGGAGACTCCTACATCAGGATACTCTTCATTGACTACAGCTCC